GCCGAGGCCAGTCGGATCTGCTGGTGCCGCCGAGGCCAGTCAGATCTGCAAGTTCTCTGGAAGGAAGGAGACTACTCTCACTGTAGAAAGACTGGGGTTTTTCAGTTTCATGCAAGGGCGAGGACAGTGCTAAGAGTCAGATCTCAAATGCGGCTTTGTCCTGAGCATGGGAAGGCTGTCAGGAGCCCCAAGGTCCTCGGCAGTTTGCCTTCCAGTTGTCTATTTCTAGGCCGTTTACTCATGTGCCAAACCAAACACCAACCATCTCTCTGTTCTTTTTCTGATTAGGGGATGGCTTCATGTGGTTGCCCAGGCTGGCCCTGGCAGTCCTCTTGCCTCTGCTAACTGCTGGGATTACAGGTGTTACCGCCATGCCTGGCATCTGCTGTCACTCAAGCCTGTGGGATGGCGGGAGGTCTTATTGTCAAAGCTTTGCAGCCACAGACAGACCCTAGATTTAGTGTGACAATTATTTCGCCCATACCCTATTGAGTCCTTTCTGAATACTAGAGGAAAGTTCAGTTGTCTCTTCTTCATTCCCAGGACTCCTATGGTGCTACCTAAGTTCTTTGCAGAGCTTCTCAAGGTGTCAGGACTTGAATCAATCCCAGAGAACCCTTTAAGTAGATTACACCTTCTTTTACAATCTGGATTATTGGGGCATTCAAGTGATCTGGGGAAGAGAAGTTGAAATGCTGAAAGCAATGAAGTTAGGAACAAAGTGAATAACTTAAAAGGAAAAATTAGAAACTCTACTTCTCTTCTTCTCACAAATCTTAACAAGTCATATGCCTGCTATGAACATCTCAACACTGCTCAGCCCTGAGGCATACTGGGAAAAGGAGGTATTTAATGCCTATCTGAATACACAGCAAAGGCTCTGCTGTCACTCTGGAATAGGTGGCTTGTCCTCAGGTTATTGTTTTAGTCTTTCCTTTTCCTCCCTGGAACGGGTTGTTTCTGAGAGGAAGTGGAAGTTGCAATTTCATTATCCTGGATAGCATGAGTGAAGACAGGAATCTTATCTCACAGCAAAGTTACCGTTAAGCTCATAGGCAAAGGGCTTTAAGGGAGAAAAAGTCTGTGAGAGTTTATAACGTGAGATCAAAATATACATGATGGCCCAGAAGTTGGGGAAGTCCTAGGCTTCGGGTACTAACTCTCCTCAGATAGAAAAAAAGTCTTTTGCGAAGAACACAGCTGGATTAATTAGATGCTTTGCAAAGAATAGGCAGCCAATAAATACTTGCAGGTTGATTTGCTAGGCAAGGGTTCTCGGCACCTGTTACTTCCCTATTCTAGTGCATTTCTTTCATGTTGATTCTTTTAGAACATTTAGCTATAAAAGCACAGGTAGGTGGCCAGCGTCCGGTGTGGCTGGAAGGAGTGTCGGCGATGGTGGCGGTCATCATCTATAGCCCCAAACTGGTTTTTTGCAACACGTCCCGGGACATCTTGAAGAAAAATAGTTCCGTGTTCAAATAAATAGAGAGACGTAGAGTTTCTTAGGCCGGCCACCAAAGTTGCCAAGGAGTTAGGAGTAAAGGAAAATCTAACTTTGCTGAAAGGTGTTCTTTCCAAGATGTGGCCATGAAACAGTGTCTCCCCTGTATTTTTTTCAGAATACCTATTGAAATACCGAAAAATTCGTGTACTTCTGAATTTTACTGGTAAGAAAACAGAAGTCTTGAGGAGAGAGAGAGGGAGAGGGGTTATTACAGAGAGTAGGCGGCTGGGACTAGAACATCATTCCCATCTTGCCCAAACTGCTCAACCACATACTAAGGTGTGTTTGGGGACCTCAGGTATCAGGGTGAAGAGCAGGATGGTGAGCAAAGGTATGCAGATGCTCTCTTCTCTATCAGGTCCTTTTCCTGGGGGGGCAGATTTCCTAAAAGGACTCTTAAAGGTCCGAGATGCCCTTTTAAAAATGGGAGTTGTATTTTATTCTTATTTACCAATTTTGGGGTATTTGTCCCATAAAGCCTGGATGTAGCATGTGCCAGGTGATGCTTCAGATGCTGGCCATGTGACGAAGTCCTGAGCAAGAGATGACTTCCGACTGCTGGGATTCTCCGTAGGCTTGCACAAGGCATATCTAGTACATGGGTGTACTACATCCACAAAGCACCTCTCAAGCACACCATACAAAGGGTGAGAGAGACACAGGTCTTGGGAGACAAGCCAAGACTGGGACTCAGATAAGAGAATGCCAGGCAGAACACCATCAGTCCCTGCAGGCTGGTTGGTACTCTGAGGAACCAGGTTTCAGAAAATGGATGATATCAGCATGGGACTTGATAAAGACTGAGGGAGGCTGAGAGACTTGGATAAGATGTACCAGACAGAGATGGCAGCTAGGAGACATATTTCAAGATGATATGATAAAGACCTGGCAAGACACCAGGGAGGATGTGGCGCAGTGAGCTCTCCAAGTGGGGTCAGGAGGAGGGGTATCCATGGATTATGTGCAGACATGACCTCGAAGCCTGTAAGTCACACTGTGGGTTCTGTGGGTTCTAGGGTGTCTGCTGAGAAGCAGGCACCCCAGGGAGGCAGTGAGGTGCTTGTAAAGGTGTGTGTGTGTGTGTGTGTGTGTGTGTGTGTTAGTGATAGCATTACATAACACCAGGCATGAGGAGACTGGTTAGATAGGCCCACTTTAGGGGATGCTGGCTGCTATTGAGGAGTTCAATTCTGAACAGACCAAGAGAACATTCTAGTATTGCCATTCAGACTGAAGGTAAACAAGGCCAGAGAAAGCAGGTCAGTCACTTTCCAAGTGCACAGGAAGAACATATGGCACTGCACATAAATTATCTCAGAAGATAACTACCCAGACAAAATGAAGGGTAGAGATGGCAGCCAGAAGGAAAAGTCACAGAAGACAGCTATAGAGGGCTGTTTCAACACACAAACCATAGCCATGGTTGAGAAAGCCAGCTTTGGAAAGATTGCAAGCACCAGTGGCTTGGCTGGTGAGCAAAGGGACTTCAGTTTTTGTATCTCTCCATCTGGGAAATGGGAGAGATTTGTATCTCAAAGGGGTTAGGCCCTCGCTGCGAGAAGCTTCCTGAGCACGTGGACACACGGTAGGAGCCACGCAAGTGAGCAAGGGCCAGCGGGAGAGTAAGTAGAGGTTGCAGTTCCGCTCAGAAATGGTGGAGACCTCAGGAAATCCACAGCCTTTGCTTGGGGCTGAGACGCCCTGTGGAGAGGATGGGCCGGTCTGGGTCACCAGCCGCACCCCAGCCCCCACCCCAGCACAGCCCTCTCTACCTGCCCCCACCCTGGCGAGCGGCCGAGCGGCTCCCAAGCCCAGCGCGCATGCGCCGACGTCGGCGCCCCCTGAGCCCCGCCCCTTCTTTCCACGTCTCACTTCCCCTAGCTCTGCCTCGCCGCCTCGGCAGCAGCTCCGCCGCCACGATTGGCTACGGGACGTCCTCCTCTCGGCCAATAAACGCCACGCCGTCTCCCCCGTGTTACTGGGTAGAACAAAACAAAAACAAACAGAGCGAGCGGGGCCAGAGGCGCTCTGAGACGGCGGCGGAGGCTGAAGAGCGGGGTCGGGGCCCGGCAGACCGGAGACCCGGGCGAGCGGCGGCGGCCCGAGGGGGTCAGTACTGTGGGCGCGGCTCGCACGCTCTGACGGGCGGCGTCCTCCTCCCGGTGGCCCCGGGTCGGCGGAGGCTGCCGCACGTTAGGAGGGGGAGGGGGCGTGGAGGCCTCGCCACGGCCGTCCGGACGGTCAGTCTCGGTCCGCACTCGCCTCGGAGCCCTCAGGCTACCGGCGCCCGCCCAACGCCCGGGGTTGCGGGGAGCCGCGGGTGCTCGCTTTCCGAGGCCGGGCCGGCCGGGCCGGGGCGCTGCAGCGCGGGCCCGCCCCCCTCCTCCGCAGCCCCTTCCCCGGCGGCGGGGCGCGTGTGCGCTCGCGGCCGAGAGGTGCCCCCGGGCGCCCGGCTCGACGCAGTTAAACGCGGGGGACAGGACGGTAGTAGAGGTGTGTCGACCGGACGGAGATCCGGTGAGGAGTCCGCGCCACGAGCCCGGGCCTGGCCGCCTCGGTCGGCCCTACCCGCTGCGGGAGGGTCGGGGTCCTGCGGGAAAGGCGCCGGTCTGTGCGGGCACGGGGCGCGGACAGCTGCCCTCCAGGCCCTGTGCCAACCCCTCCCTGCTGTCTCCTGCACAGGGTCCCTTAAAAAAGTAGAATACAACCTAGAGAAAACAAAGCCGTGAAGGGAGCCCCCTCTCTGTGAACGCATGCTGTGTCTGCTGCACGACTGTCCGCTACTGTAATGTACGTAGAGGGCGTGCTTTTTTGTTTTTTTTGTTTTTTTTTTTTGTTTTTTTGTTTTTGTTTTTTTGCTTTCCCCGAACACCCTCAAAAACTGCAGATGGAGGTCTTGCCTATGTTCCTCGATCCCCTCCTTGGGAGATGGCTCTGTAGCCAACCTCTAGTCTCCTATCTGCTATGAAAGATTCAAAATGCGGCTCCGGGCCTGGGTGGATGATGGGAGTGAGGCCTACAGGCTGCGTTTAAGCCATTTTGATAGTTTCACAGTTGTGGTATTCTTGATTTAAGAGTTTGAGACATTGGGGAAGGCCTTATTTATTTATTTCAAAAAACCGAGGTGTTAGCGTGTGTGTGTGTGTGTGTGTGTGTTTGTGTGTGTGTGTGTGCGTGTGTGTGCGCGCGCTAGTGTATGTGTGTATATATATATATATACACGATGGATATATATATATATATATATATCCATAATGGGCTTGCGATATCTATATCTATCTATCTCCTGGTAATAGTCAGGAAAAATACTTGTTACGACTGCAAAAATAAATGCACATTGTTATTCTCTGTAGTGGTTGCTTTTGCGTTATAGTCGTAGAGAGCTTTTAGCCTATTGCAAGTTGCTAATTAATGTGACTGTATCCCAGGGAAGAATTAAGGTAATTTTCTAGTTAACATACAGTCTAAACTTGACTTCCAAAATGTCAGAGTAATTTATCGGGCATTTAGGAAATGCATTGGAGAACAGTTAATTTCAGCCTCAATCTTTTTTAGCTGTATACACATAGCTTTTTTTTTTTTTCCTCACGGGAAATGATTTTGTATTGATTAGTGTGCTGCAAATGGAATTTAGATTTTTTTTTTGCTTTGCCTAAATTTGAGGTAAGTATTTTAAGAATTGTTAAATTAAAAGAAAAGGAAAAGAAAAGCCCATTGAAGAGAGTGTCACATGCTGTCTTTTTGAACAGCTGTGATGCTGTGTACTGGGTCTTGACTGTTTGATCTAGTTGTTATGGTCTGGAGATAGAACTATTTTCTGGTTGTTATGATTACTTAATAAAGCAGTATATTATGTGTGATAGTTATTTCCCGATAGCTGCTTTCAGTATCATTTTTAGTGTTTGGAAAGCAGTATTAACAATCGATGAACCAAGTCTACGATGTCAGAAGCTTCTTTTTATTAACCCTAAGAAGGACTTCCCTGTGAGACACTGTAAGCTCTTGTACTGCATTTACAAGGTCTGGATTCTCGTGGTGGTTCACCAGTGCACTGTGCTGCTTTTTCTACGTTCACAGACCACCCTCTCTTTCTGAACCTCTTGAATTGTATGCTAGGGAATACTCAAAGTTCGTGAAATAACGTATATAAAATTAATCTTGAATTAGAAAAGGTTTGATAAGCACATTATTTATAATATTTCCCCCTTTATTAGCTGGATGCTGCCGAAAATATTTTCTCAAAGATGATACTTGCATCCAGAATGAAAATAACACTTGACAATGTAACTTTAGTTAAATCAAAGCACATCAGAGCTGATGGAGTTTCTGTAGCATGTAATTCATGCATACAGTGAAGGAGAGCAGGATATAGAATTTTCTGCCATGGAAAGTAGTAAAAATTTCCATTTCCAAACTACACTTGGTCTTATACTTGTATGAATCTCTATGTATCTATTTTAAAATTCATTTTTCAAAATCCTGAGTTGTTTAAAATTAACACTGGGAAGTAAGTGGTCATTTATTTAGACCTACATGTCAGTTAATTCATCATGGAATTAGAGAGTGGTTTTTACCATGTTCTGTTTCTTGGGCAGGATAAAAACATCTTGATGTAGCCTAACAGTTATGACATGATTTTAGCATAAGGTGTTATTCTTGTTTCCCAAGTTAATACCCTTTTAGAGAAAAACGATTTAAACCTAAAGGGTCCTACGCTTGTCACTGCTACGTTCTCTCACCTGACAGCTTTCTACCACAGCACACAAAGGTCTCTTCTGTAGGTGTTAAACTCCTGACGATCCTTGCTTGTGCTTGCTCTAGTGCTGGGATTACAGATGTGTGTGTGTGTTTTTTTTCCACATCTGCCTTTTATTTGTTCTGAAAGGAGGTTGTGTGTTTTTCTAACAAAAATTTTAGATTATAGAAGTGATATGCTGAATATAAATCACACTATAGAAAGGGTTACTTAAAAATTTCTTCCTGTTTCAGTGCCTCATAAAAAGACAATATGATGGACGAGTTAATGAAATGACAGCTGCATCTGTATTCAGAAAGTCTGTGATGCCAAAGATCAATGAATGAAATATTCTTGATTAGCCAAATTTTAGTTTTTGTTAGAGAATTATCCAATACTTATATCCCTGTATGTGGATATAAAATTAACTTTTAAGACTGTATTAAATGTGGGCTGGAGAGATGGGTTAAGAGTGTATAATGTTCTTCCAGAGGACCCAAGTTCGGTTCCCAGCGTTCACATCTGATAACTCACAGTTCCCTGTAAGTCCAGCTCTGGGGGATTCAGTGCCCTCTTCTATTTTACACTGCTACCTATACACAGTGTGACTGGCTGTGTGTTTATGTGTATGTGTGCACATGTGTACACAGATACACACATGGGGGGGATCTTAAGAGATTTAGTGTGTGTGTTTAAGTTAAAGGTATGTGTGTTATAAGCATTTCTTTAAACTTTACATTTAAGGGATTCATTGGCTCATGCTGAAATCTGATGCATTTTATCTCAATTTTTTCTTTTTTCTCTTTGTCTCAGAAAAGGTTGTGGAGAAATTTGGAGCTAAGTATTAATTAGATTATTTTTGAAAGTATAGCAAACTCTTTAAAAAGGAATTTAGGTTTTTTTTTTTTGTTTTTATTCAAGTAAGTTGAATTTACGTTAATTGTGTCAGTTTAGAAGATGTTGAACCTTTTTCTTTTCTGCTTTTACAATATAGATTCTAAAGGAAGACTTCCATTTAGTAATTTGTGTATAATCAGTGCAAGCGAAATTAAGGAAAAATGGATGTAGAAAATGAGCAGATACTGAATGTGAACTCCACTGGTGAGTAGCATCCTAAACCCTGTCTGGTGACCAGACTTGAAGCTCTTCTGTATTTTATGTGGGAAAATGAGAGTAAAACTTTTATAGTACTTTAAAAGGCAACAGAAACTCGTAAAAGATTTTCAGGAGACAAAACCAAGATATCATAGTGAGGTTTGAGTATTTGCATTTCAGAGTGGTCAGCACTGAGTGTGGGGCACTCAGCAGGAACAGGGTGCAGGGGCATACACTCACAGTAAGGACTTTACTTAATTCTGAGGTAATGTGGAAAGCTTTGAAAGAGTTTGTCAGTAAGGGCATGCTTTAGAAAACCATTCTGTTCACTTTGGAGACTGTGCTGTATCCCACTGAGTGTGTTTGTTTTGGATCACAGCATTTTCTTACTAACATTTGTACTTTTTTGCTAAGAGTCAAAAAGGATTGAATACATCTGTGCTTTTTAGACTGATTAAATTTTTACTTTTTAAACTCTCAAACTATAATAAAATCGTGTATGTTGTCAACTTTACATTGTAATAATAATTATCATAGTTACAGTTAGGCACCAGACAGTTTGGGTGATTTGCCTCTGACTTGAGTTACCCATCTGGAACAAAACTGCTGGTGTGGCAATGAAGTCAGTGGCCTTTCTGACTTAAAACTGTTTCTGGAGCAAAGCTGAGGTTGCCATGTGATCTTCAGAGACATCTGAGACAGGGAGATAGGTCTGTTGGGTGCTGTTGACAGAAAGGAAGTGCAGTCTGGTAATAGCCCCTTCTTTGAGGCTGTGAGCAGGAAAATGATTATAAAAGAGGTAAAGCATTGACTGTTGCAGTGGGCTGAGTGATTGTTGTTTGACCATTTAGAGTTCACAGAGGGAGTGAGACTGGGGCATCGTTTGAAGAATTCTGATAGCAGGCTAGTTACTAAATGACTTGTAAGCAAAGGACCATTTGGGATTTTAGGTGCTGATGTGCCAACATGTGGCTGGGAACTTGTCAGAGAGAGAAGTCTAGAACATCATTTGGGAGTTGGAGACGATGATTTTATAGCATTCCCTGTGTTGAAGGCAGTCAGTTCAACACTTGTATTTGATGGCCTGTTTGTCAGATATATATTGCAGACTAATGTCTCCTTAAGCATTTGTAACTGAGCAGGAAATGGTTTGCAAGTAGTTTAAACACACTCTGAACCTTGATTTCTTCATCTGTATGACGTGCTGAGCTTGTATTGTCCAGTATAGCCTCAGACGTACGTTAGACACCTTGTACAGTCTATCTCCTTTGTCTCAAGATTCTTTACTACCTATCTCTACTTGATGACTCTTTGCTTACAAGTCTACAGTTTAATGTTCTTCATACTAACCTAGATTTTATTATCCAAGCATGTGTAATAACCTCTTTTTAAAAAACCCTGTTAATTAAAATTCAGTACCTTCATTTATTTTCCTTGGTAATGGGAGAATAATCTTATTTGTCCTTTATTAGATTATAGATTAAGTCATGTAAAATTGTCAGTGTATGACTACTACTAGCTACAAAATGTTAATTTCATGTGAAGTAGCCAAATTAAATTATACCTGACGTAACAGTGGATACTGAAAATACTTTGTTTTTTTGTCATTTTCTCTTTTAAGACCCTGACAATTTAAGCGACTCTCTTTTTTCTGGAGATGAAGAAAATGCTGGCACTGAGGAAATAAAGAATGAAATAAATGGAAATTGGATCTCTGCATCTACTATTAATGAAGCTAGAATTAACGCTAAAGCAAAAAGACGACTGCGGAAAAACTCCTCCCGGGACTCTGGCCGAGGCGACTCAGTCAGTGATAATGGAAGTGAAGCAGTTAGAAGTGGAGTCGCTGTGCCCACCAGTCCAAAAGGAAGGTTGCTAGATAGGCGGTCCCGATCTGGGAAAGGAAGGGGGCTGCCAAAGAAAGGTTAGTGTGTGCTGCGCAAGGAAACAACTGGGAGAGCCCCAGCTCCTGTTTGAGGAGTTCCTTGTTCTAAACGGACAAAAGCGCTGACAGTTCTAGGGCTCTCCGAGCTGAGTGCATCTGTGTGGTGGAGCGGAAGGCCCATACCACTTTTTCTTTAGGTTGATTATTTTTTCTTTGGAGTAAACTTTCTCTTTTCCCCTCAGCAAAATATAGTAAACATTGATGCTTTCAGTTATGAATTTTATATACACTATGAAGGTAGTCAGGTTTATTATAACTGTTATCAAATGAATCTGTGTCCATTGTTAAAAATAGTAACTATGCATTTGGTAACGTATATGTAGATCTGGGTCTGAGTTCTTCTTAGTTCCAGTGCTTGAGTGCGGGAGTAGATGGATGGATTTCACTGCTGGATGGATCTAGTGCCTAGAATACTGATAGACCCTGAAGAGTCATTCTGTCGATAGTAGGATTTTGGCAGAGTTTGGACACTGGACTGGGATTTTGAACGGAATGAGCTTCAGTTACACACTGTAGACACTGATAATTTAAATGGATCTTGTGATGAAAGTGCTTGGAAGGAGGGGAAACTGAAACATGGAGATTGAATTTCAACATCTTCTATTAATGAACATAGAACTCATGCCAAGACAAAAATATGATTATGAAAAACATTTTTGTTAAGGTGAATAGGAAAAGATAAATGTATCAGTATTCAGATAAAGTATAGTGATCTTTCAGAAATTATTTTGTGACTAGCTACATAACTCATGAATGGAACTATCCTTAGTTACTTGGTTCTGGTCTGCTATGTTGGCAAGGATTATACTCTAGGTACAGAATGAAAACTTTAAACGGGGGCAATGGCATTATGAGGGCTTTTAAAAAAGTGTTATTTTAGACAAATTTGTCCTTGTAAAAATGCCATAGTAAATTGATCTGGAAAAGGAACTTGCTGAGTTGAAGTTGTAGTCTTTGGTTTGTTTACAGAAGTAGAGAGAAACAGCTGTCAGTGCTGTTGTTTTTTAAATATCAATTATTGGTTAAAATACTGCTAATTTCTAAGTATAGTTTAATGTGCACTTTATGTGGAAGAATATTACATGTTAGCATGATGGTGGTCATATGGATCTCCGTGGATTGATTTATTTATTTTTTATGTGTTGAGCTTTTAATGCCACATTTGCTGGCCCAGAATGTTTCTCTTCTTTCTTTTTTTTCCTGGTTCCAAGAAATGTCAAAATTTAGAGCTTCACCACAGTGTCATGTCCTGTAAGGTCTGTGGTGTGGCTGTTGCTCAGATTAAAAAAAAATATTTTAAAGATTTCACCTTTGTAGTTTCTATGTAAGTGATTTTTGACTCGATGTTTTGGGAAATAGATAATCTATTATCGAAGAAGTGATCTAAATAGGAGTTTCAAGTGTAATTCTCAACTGGAAAATAATTAGCATAAGAATTTTTACATTTGAAATTATTTCAGATTTCAGTTAATATTTGTGAACTATCAACTGAACTTTCAGGTGGTGCAGGAGGCAAGGGTGTCTGGGGCACACCTGGACAGGTATATGATGTGGAGGAGGTGGATGTGAAAGATCCAAACTATGATGACGACCAGGTATCAGCTATTTTTTATATACTCAATATTTGTAAGATTTCTTAATTTTCACTCATAAGATTGTCAAGTGATACATGGTCATATATCAGTACTCCATAGCTATGAAGATATATATATAACATGTATGGCAAAATAATATATACAGATTAGGGAAACCAGTTTTTTGATAGTAAAGCGTACATAATTTCCACTTGGATTGGAAGTCAAGAGGAGGTCTCTATTGACTTGACTAGTGATGATAAAGGAGGTCTCTTGGGTATCGTGGGCTGCAGGTATTAGCTTCCTTCTTAGAGTCACTACTTAACATGAGGACTAGTGTGTATGTTGTTCTGAGGACACATGCATTTTCTCTCTCAGGATAATACTTAGTAAGGAATGTCTTAATGCATCATTGCGAAGTCTTTTTAATGGAAACATTTCATCAGTATAATTGGTACAATGAGCCTACCGGTGCCCATCCTCCAGCTTCATCACCAGGGTCACCGTGTAACTCACAGGCAGTCTTGCTTAGTCTGTGTCTGTTTACTTCAAAATGTCAGTGTGTGTATGTTAGCTTGTTTTCTCTGCACATTATTCATATGTATGCATTTATCAGTGTTAACAGGTGCATATGGAAAACTCCTAAGAGATAATAAAAATATTTAAAGGCTGTGGGATTGAAATATCATGTACTCTGCTAAATAGTAGTCTTTTAAGTATATGCTACAAATAATATTTTAAATGTCAAGTTGTAGATAAATATTTTAGCTTTTCTGTAGCGGAGACATGGGTTGGTGATAAGCATTTTAATCTCACTGAAATTTCACTTGAACTGTTTTCTCTTAGATTTTCAGTCATTACAGTATTGATCTCTTTCTTTTATTATATTAATTTTGAAAATTTCTGCTTTTGACAATGTTAGTACATATATAAGAATACTTAGTCTTGTTTAAAAGTCAGGTTTTAATGAAAGTATATGCAGGGATGCTATCTTAAAGGTTTTGGGTTGAAAAGTTGGTTTTGTGAGGAATATAAAAGTTAACATGAATGCTGAGATGGCTTAGTCAACAAGGTGCTTGCTATGCAAGCGTGGAACCTCAGTTTGGATTTCCAGCGCCTGCATAAAAGCTGCATCATAGCTTGGTGGTGCCAGCTATGATGTCAGCATTGGGAAATGGAGGCAAGAGAGTTCCAGGCTTGCTAGACAGGAGCTCCAGGTTCAGTGAGAGACTTTGTCTCAGAAGATGAGGTGAAAGAGACAGGGAGATGGCTCAGTACAGAAAAGCACTTTATGTACAAATTGGGCAACTTGAGTGTAGTCTCCACAGTCAGGAAAGCTATATGAAAACCCTGCTATGGTAGGTGCATCTGTCATCCAGTCCTTCAGTGGGGACATGGGAGGTAGAGGTAACATTGACCTCTGATCCCTGCCCACCACACGCATGCGTGGCATAGACACCCCCTCCCCACCCAAATAAGTCAGCATGAAATAGAGAGTTCGGTAGAAAATCATGTGTTTGCTACAGTGAGTGGGGTTAGTCTGTCTATGGCTTGTTGAAGCTTTATAAAGCGGCTGCATACAGACTGTGTGATTAAAACAGGAAGCATGTCTTGCCTTACTGGTGATCACTAACCAGCTGAACTATGAAATGATAATTTCAGTTTTTCTGAATAATTTATAATCCCCCTTCTTTCAGGAGAACTGTGTTTATGAAACTGTAGTTTTGCCCCTGGATGAGACTGCCTTTGAGAAGACTCTGACACCGATTATACAGGAGTACTTTGAGCATGGAGATACAAATGAAGTTGCGGTAGGTTTTAGGTTGCAGGGAGAAAAAACTGTTAGAAACAAAACCTTTGTAGAACAATTTGGGATTACTCTGAATAAGTTTGTTTTTTCTTTTGTAACAACAACAGTTTTTTCAACCAAGAAGGGAATGTGCTGGGCATGGTGGTTTATGCCTAAAATCCCACTACTGGAGAGGTAAAGGTCAGTAGGACAGGCCTGGGTTTGAAGCCAGTCTGGGCTACGTAGGACTTCAAAAGAAAAAAGAAAAAGGGATACAGTTTTTTTTCCTTAAACATTTTTTCTTACATATTTCTGGGCTCTGATGTCACTTCTATGCCATTTCTTTTTGGGGGAAATGACACAACCACTATTTCTATACATTTAAAGCATCTGGCTTTATAATCTAAACGATTTTGTGGAGTTTGGGGGCCTCCGAATTGTCTGGTCGTTTTGGATGAAATTAAAATGTATCTGTACTCTCTCCAAAAGACATTTATACCAAGATTTGGAAAAGAATGTGTATGGACACCAAGAGAATCAACCTAAGTTTTGAATCATAGTTTGTGTGGGGATAATTAATGTGTTTGTAGTAAATTGTTCATAAAGTAAATCTTGAAAGGTAAAATAAAGTGACTGGTTTCATTAGAATTATGGGCCTGAACTATAACAGTTACTAATTGGACTTTTAGTTTTGCTTGTTATATAGGTTTGGTAGCTTTGGATTTATAGAATTATAGTATATTTGTTTATTTGTTTATTGCATACTGCTGTGTGACAGACTTTTTCTGGGGAGACACAACACACACACATATCTGCACTCCAGATAGGGAATCCATGACATTCCAAAATACAGGTACCACCAAAGTCCAATTTGTTGAACCAATGAGTTTTATTGGTATTATTTACAGGAATATGGATGAGGAGTTACTTACATGAGCGGAAGTGACTCAAAGACATTTCCATCACTAAAGTCTACCCCCAACATGAGTGATAGCTCACAAAACTGGGAACCTGGAGCACACTGCACAGCTTGCAGGCAGCTCAACAGGTTGGAGAGTGGGTCTAACCCTTATGTAGGGAGGTTGTCTGCTTCTTCCAGGCTGCTGGTCTGGTCACAAAATTCTTGGCAGCTGTTCCCTGTGAGTCCTTGCAGCTTGGTTTTGCTTACTCTGGCAGGGAGACAGTTAATTAATCTGGTCAGTTTCAGGAACTTTCTCAAGCTGTTTACCTTCTTGCCTAAAGAGCTTCCCTACAGGATGGAGTATTTCAGTCTTAGAGGAAACTGTTACATAAGGCTCCATCCCTTACTCCCGAACTTACAGTCTTTCTGCCTTTGTGTAGTGATCTCTGAGCCTTGGAGGGGTTGACCAGAGATGTCCATCTATAGCTAAGAAGTATGCCACCATAACATGCCACATTAAGTCAGTTGTTCTCAGGAGCTTCGCCAGTGCTTAAGAGTTGAGCCTGATAACAGCAGCAGTCTATAGGTGCAAACACAAGTTTAGAAGGCAATTCGACAGACATTACATCCACTTAGAAAAATCATATAGGTTGCTTCCCCCCTGAAATCTATGACCTCCTCAGCCACTGGTTTTTGTCCTGTTTTATAGTACCAAAGGTGAACTCCCGTTTGTGGTGAAGGTTTTGATTCTAGTTAGAAAACTGTTGGTCTGGCTCATGACAGCTGAGCCACTATTGCACAAGCTGGCACGTCCTGCCTAGTGTGTTGGTATTCCAGCACACAGGGTCCATAGCCAAGCAGGAGTGCTGGTGATGGCTGTTCTCCACCAGCAGCCTGCATGCCCCTCTGGCACTGTAAGGCCAGCCAGCAGGGTTGGGGTTTCCATTTCAGTTCCAGATTAGTTTCTCCAAATGCTACATCAGAACATGCACATGCAGTGTCTTCAGCAACAGGGTCGTAACACCTAGTGCTGGAATACAACCAACAGTAGTAGTAATAGCTTTTATGATTTGTGGGGCCTTATAGGCTTCTCTAGCCCACTCCTGGCACTGGGGGTTTGCAGTCAGTAATCTTATAGCTTCTGGGAGTATCCTTTTCTACCCCTGTAGGGAACCATTTGGATTTAAACTCTTAGCTGATGGTTCAGTTACCGAGGGATGCTCAGTCCTTCAGATGACACTGGTCCTAGGGCAGCCTGCATGACATTTGTGCTGGCGCTTGTATATACCATACCTCATATGCTGCCACCTTTACAGAGTTGGATTCTGTGCTACACCAGAAAGCAGTTTGGCCAGGTGGCCTTCAGTCTAGCCCTTTATTGGGCAAGCTGTTCTTTAGTCACTAGGATAGTAAGAGGTTCCACCTGTTGCAGTACTTTAAATTCAAGTAAACAGTTGCTTTTCTTTTGCTTTCTGCTCTTTTCTATAACAGAGCCAAACCCTATTGGGTCTTTGGTTAGATTGTTTTTGCCATAGCACCCAGCTATAGCCTTAACAACTTCTGGTAACTTCTAATAGGAAGAGATGTTGGGTTAATAGGGTATACAGTTGTTTACCTGTCCTACAGTGATCTTAGCCTGGTCAAAAGCGACTTTAGCCTTTCTGTGCCAATCCATGTAACCCCTTTTATTATCAGTTTATACCAAGGATGGGCAGCTTGGGCAGATGGAATATGAAAATCTGCTACTCTTCCCCCAAATGCCTCTAGCACCTTTACATTTACAGGCATAGTCTGTTGTAGGATTTTGACAGGAATGTTGTCAGGTATCATATGTGTCTTACCATACTAGACCATAGTACTGCCAAGAATTTTATACCTGTGCCTGATTGGCCCTTGTATTTGTGGCTTGATCTCCCATCTTCATTGAAGGGACTGGTATTGGCTCAGGATCCCCAACACCAAGTTCTATAGAGTGATAAAGGTCAGGAAGTAAGAGACGAAGATAGGAAGGAGAAGATAGGAAGGAGAGGGAGAGGGAGAAGGGAACAAGAGGGAGAGGAAGGAGTGTTTGTCTGGGGGTGGGGAGTGGGACGATGACCACAAAAGACAGCTGGACAGTGGAGACAGATGTGGCCCATAGCAGATGGCAGTTTACAAAGGAAAATGGAAACTCCGTGTTAGGGTGAGCTGTTTAATTTTAATTGGGCATGTTAATTAGGTGAGCCAAAGGGCGATTTTGCTGAACCTCAATACTTTGACAGCTGGAGTATTGAACCTCAATACTTCCTCCTCAGGAGGAGGAAGTGGCCAAAGGCGACTAGACCTTGGTGGTTAGCCTTTAGAATGTAATCTAATGCTTTTTAGTGAGGCAGAGAGAATGGGGGAGAAGGGAAAGGCCTGCCACAGCCATGTTTGCCATGGACTGTTTAGAGTCCCTTCACTCATTCCTTTAGACGCACCTACAGATTCTTTAGGTAAACTTCTAGATGTTCAAAAACACTCAGAAGTTAGCATTATGTCGTCTACATAACACATTTTTTTTCTAGAGGATGGGTGGAACAAGGCAGCATCCTAATGTACCAAGCCAAGGCGGGGGGTTGGGGGACAGGTCTACAAAGATAGCCTTGGTGAAGCACTCTTAAAGTCTGTATAATCTGTTCTGAGCAAGTGTCAGGTGAGTGCAGAGGTTCACAGCTAAGATGTTCTAAAGTAATATGAACAAGGTCTGATAGGAAAGGCTCCATCTCTTTGTATCCGTTGCTTCCTCCACAGATGGAGGTTGGGTACCACGTGTGGATGGGAGGCGCTAACTTCATTAGCTCTCTGTAATCCTCCATCATTCTCTCTGAGCCATCATGTTTCCAGTCCCGGAGCTCTTCCATAGAGGCTCTCTACATTTCTCCAAACCTGATAAACTCTGTAGTCTGATTCAGTCTGCTCAGCCCTGCTCACAGCTAAAGGTGTTTGAGGCTCTGCCCTCTCTGCTGTGCCTGATGGCTCCGCAGGTCAGAGTGGCCCTTGGTGGACATGCTGGCTGCAGCCTCTCCATTCGCCATACTGGGCTGTTAGGGGAATTCTTGTCTGGGCAAACCATCTCCATCACTAGCATAGCCTTTGGCTGGAGAGAAATACACCCTTCTTACTCTTGGGGATAATTCCCACCCCGGGGCAGGCTTGATCATCTTCACCTGCACTGTTCTCTCTTGGGTGTCTTCTGTGCAGCGCTCCTCGGGCTTTAGAGCCTTCCCGAAGCCCCTCAGCACACAGTTGCCTTTCTTTCTGTCAGTTTTTCCAGTGAGACCTAAATCCCACCACATCTGTCTCCCCATAACCCAGACAGATCTCTTTCTCTGCTTTGTCTGTTTCCTAGCTCCTCTAGGGTGCTCTCTCACGTTACAGACTCTTTATATCTTGCTCTAAGTCACTGAGATCTGTCCAAGCCCCTCCTTCTTTATAAAGATCTCGCCCCACCAAAGGGCCCAGCAAAGCCACCAAAGCTCCACACCAGCCGTGAGGTTCCTGCTGAATCAACCTTTCCTTCGACTCCTCTGTGAACACAGTTCTGTGTGACCCAGTGAACCGGGTTCAGACACAGCTCCTCTTCTCCTAGTTCCCTCAGTAGCACCTGTCCCTCCTCTTTGGTCCTCCAGTCCCTGATGTTTATGGGTACTTCAGACAGAGATCATTTAGTGTTCCTCATGGATCTCATAAGTCAGTCCACCAGAGACTGATTTCCATCACAGTCTCAGGCCATGCAGCCTTTGCCTTAAGGAGAATGGGAAGTTACATTACTCAGTTTTCCTGCTTCCACAGCAGCCAGATAGAGTCCATCCACCCCTGTCCACCCCGTCCACCCTCCCCTGCCCCCTTCACCCCACTGTGTACCACAGCCTCACAAGCCAGGCGGAAACAGGCTCTTTTGTTACTTGTTTGAACTTACCTATTTTCAGCAGTTCAAGTGCTGAGTGTTTCTTGATCATCCTAGTTTCTTTCATGGGACCATATTCTGGATCATAGATTTTTCCTTTTATTCCGTTAAAGTTTGGATCTCTACAGTATCTTCTTAATGCTTTTACCATGATCTTCCCCACTCTGACTCTTTCTATGAATCCCAGGCAGGGCTTGAGCATGGATCTAACTTGCACTCTCTTTTCCTTCTGGCCCCTAACCCTTAAAGAAGTGGCAAGCCAGCACCCCATCTCATCCTCTTGGATATATAATCTGCCAGATGAGTGGCTGGCACAGAGCATGCTGCCACATCTCTGTCTGGTTGCAGTTGCTTGTTTTTATACAAACAGGTTGCTGCTTGGCACCTGTCTCAGCCTCGGTGCATTTCTAATTCCACGGAAGAATGGCCAGGTAACCTCTGCTGCTGCTTGTCTACACTCCCCACCCTTGTGCTCTAATCTTAAAGACTTCTACTTTTCCTCCAAACCGGTGGTTCTCAAGATTCCTAGTGCTGTGATCCTTTAATGAAGTTCTTCATGTTGTGGTGATGCCTCAACTATAAAATTATTTCATTGCTACTTGTAATTTTGCTACTGTTAGGAATCATAATGTAAATATCTGGTGTGTGGGATATATGACATATGACCGCCAAATGGGTCACAACCCACAGGTTGACAACCAGTGCTAAACTTTTAACTGTTTTCAGAGCATCTCCATATTCACACAGTGGACCTCATTTATCAAGCAGGCATGCCACCCATACCATAGAGACAAAGATTGCCATCCGGGGTTTTCCCCACAGATATGCCACTAATTCTGATGGCTCAGTCTTAGTTGCATGTCTCATAGCCAGAAGCATGCAACTTCTAGCACACAGCCATAGCACAAAAGCGCACTGACACTTTCCACAAAGGAAAGGACAGTCGGATGAGAGATCATTGACCAGGGTAGCACTTACAGGGTTGTGAAAGTAGGCATCTCCTAGTTGTGTATCATGGTTTAAAAATTCCAGGAAAACTTTAAAAGTAGGCAGTGTTAAGTAACCAAGTTACAGTTAGAACTCTGCCTCTAAGGTTATACTACTGCAAGTATTGAATTATTTTGAGCATTAAATGGAGTGGTATAATGTCTGATAACTTTATTGTGTGGTTAGTAAATATTTGGTACTATTAATAGGAAAATTTTTTATTCTATCATTTAAAACATTAGTCCAACTTAAACACTAAAGATACTGCTTTATATTCACATGAAAGAATAGAGCAAACACTTATTTTAAGAGGAGACAAGGTTTTACTATGTAGCTCTGGCTGGTTTGGAACTCACTATGTAAGTAAGATCAGGTTGGCCTTGAACTCTGAGGTCTGCTTGCCTCTGCCTCCCTAGTGCTGGGATTTAAGGAATGTGCTACCAAACCCAGTCTTCAAGAGAAAACATTTAAGTAGACTATATAAACAGTCTGTAATATAAAACAAATTTCTCCACAGATGTTCATCAATTATTTGTAAAAATAATCGTAGTAGATTGTAAAGTAGGGCATTCGTTAGTTGTAGTTGAATGGGCTGTTCGGTAGAGGATTTGTTAGTTGTAGTTGAATGGGTTGCTCACACTGTTTTTCATATCCCCAATGTACAGATATTCAGGCAGGTAAAGCTTATATTACTGGTGTAATCCTAAATATGACTACTGAATTTCTAAACTTAAAGGAAGGGAGGTGTAAAGATAGAGGAGAAGCATGCCTGTAAAAATAAAGATTTTTACTGAGCTAGAGACAGTAGTCATTTTCCTTCTTTCACACAGGAGATGTTAAGAGATTTAAACCTCGGGGAGATGAAGAGCGGCGTGCCTGTGCTGGCAGTGTCCTTAGCCTTGGAGGGGAAGGCCAGCCACCGAGAGATGACATCCAAGCTGCTTTCTGACCTTTGCGGGACAGTGATGAGCACAAATGATGTGGAAAAGTCATTTGACAAGTTGCTGAAGGATCTCCCTGAGCTAGCCTTGGACACTCCTAGAGCGCCGCAGGTTTGTGTCGCTGTCTTCTCGCTCCTTCGTCTCCGACACGTACACGCTCCTGGCAAATTCAACAGTTGCAAGGGAATGGCCCATAGTTCTTACCATACAAAGAGAGCTCTGCATGTATTTAGGTCTTTCCCTCCAGCCTTGTTTTTATTTTCTGTCCTTTGTATTAAATCAGGGGCTACCCACATGGTGGCAGGTGCTCTACCAATGAGCTGTATAACCTACCTAGGTCTTGATGGAACTAAACAAAACCACTTTTTTCTCCAGCTCTGTATAGTTTTTAAGTCATATGTAATACATGTATTTTTGCTCATAGACTTTTTTATTATATGTACGTTGTTTTAATAGCTAAGAATTAAGGATATTATGTTGCTATAACAGATACTGATTTACTTGAGTGGGATTTATTAAAAAAGTTATAACTGTTCCCTATTGTAACTTTGAAAACATGCAATTTCTATTTATTAACATTTGCATAAAAATTTAATTCATAGAGAGTTTCTAAAAGTTGTTTCTGTAGCAGGAAGTCTCTATGAGTCAAAACTGGACTTATTTCCCTTCCCCTCTTTATATATACACACTTAAAAAATTGTCATCTGAATTCATATTAATTAAAGAATTTTTGATGAGCAAAATCCAAAATGAAGAAAGGCCAGGAACCTCCCCCCAAATGTGTTAACATTTTGATAACTATTTTTTTTTATTTCTAGGGTTTTTTATTATTGTCATTTTACTGTTATTTAATTAGAAAGTAGAATTGTACTGCATACACTGTTTTGTAGAGTTGAGTTTTCTTACAAAATGTGACTAATATTTTCAAAGGCCCCACAGAGCACCTTGCTTTGTATGTACTACCTATGCATACTTTTACTGTTAGACACTGAAGTTGTTTTCAGATTTTCTAATAAAGTTTGCTATGATCAGACTTTGAAATGAAAATTTATTTGTGCATAACTTTCTTCTACAACATATATTTTGTAGTTAGTTGAGAAAACATTCTAGGTATTGAAGAGGAGAGGTTTCTCCTTGACTTTCAGGTCATTTTAACAGCATGTGTTGAGAATGAGGCGGTGTGCAGAGTACTGGGGATTATGTAGTGAGCGAAGCAGAGGTGCCTTTCCCTCCTGATGGCATGGCCGTGACGGCCAGACTAGTGGTAAAGGAGCATGCACTGTGCACGGCACACAGGTGCTTCTGCACAGCCCAACACCTGAAGGTCAGTGTAGAGGAGTGTACACCATGCTTAACAAACAGGTACTTTTGCGTATTTCAATATGTGTTTTAGGTATTGAGTGTAGAGTAAGACAGTTTTTAACATTTATGCATTTCAAAATTATGTCAAGATTTACTTTAGTTTTTTTATGTTCTCTTTTTTTCTTCTTATAGTTGGTGGGCCAGTTTATTGCTAGAGCTGTTGGAGATGGAATCTTATGTAATACCTATATTGATAGTTACAAAGGAACTGTAGATTGTGTACAGGCTCGGTAAGTGAATTAAGTTTTGCTACTTAGAATTTCAAAATGAGAAATTCTACAACATCCTTTAAAATGACATGTGCATGAATCAGACATTGTGTGTATTTGTCTTTATGTATTCTTCATTGTTAAAAGATATTGTCGTGGTATAACAGGAAGAGGGCAGTAATAAAAAAGGAGAAGTTCTGAATTAAATCATGAGGTTCTCTTAAGTCTCCCTTCTTTGGGCCTCAGTTTCCCTACTTGTAAAATGAAAGCATTGAATGGGTAGTGTTCATGGTACCTTCTGGTTTGGACAGTTCTTTGGTTTAATGAATTAGAAGCCAAATGTGTTGTTTTTCTAAACTTCCTGGAGACTGCTTTAGACAACCAGACCTCAGACTTTTGATACTAATTTCGAAGGCCTACTTTAGGTCATAGTAGGAAGATCTCCCTGGGTAGAAAAATGTGAATCTATATAAAAGCTGTATGTGAATTTATATTCTTTCCTGGTTATATAACCATTATTTTATAATGTATTTCGATAAGAAGTGGTTGTAAAAGAATATGAGAATGTTAAATATTTTAAAAAATACCTAATTTTTATTTGAAAAGTTATTTTCAAAACCTACGTATTTTTGTTACATTAAAGTTGTCAATATATGTACAGTTTTGTAAACTTTGTTAACAGTGTGGTAACCATGAGGCATGTCTGCACTGTAGTGGAATTTCTCTTTGTTTTCTCACTGTGTTTCAATACATAAACAGTTTTGTAAACTTTATTGATAATGTGTAACCATCAGTCATGTCTCTATATAATGGAGCTTCTCTTCCTTCTCTCACTGTTTTTCTGACAGAGCTGCTCTGGACAAGGCTACTGTGCTCCTGAGCATGTCTAAAGGGGGAAAACGCAAGGATAGTGTGTGGGGGTCCGGAGGCGGGCAGCAGCCTGTCAATCACCTTGTTAAAGAGGTACTTACTGAGAGAAAACAACTGGGCAGCTACTAGATGGCATTTTGTGGGCAGGAATTTAATGTGGTCATATATTTGCAAGTAAAAATCTGAATAACCTATGAATTAGAAAAATTAGGTAATTGTTGCTGTTTTAATGTGTCTTTGTGATTTAATGGCATGAATATAAGAAGTCTGTCTGTAAACATCTAAGGAATGAGTGGTTATACAAAGTCTGTCTGAATTCTAATGCCTGAAATCTTTGTTATAGTAGTATTTAGTCTTAAAATGCTGCTGAGGGGAGATCATTGTAATTATTCAGTAAATGTTATTGGTATGAGTGATCTGAAATTACAGCTTAGGATTATGATCTACGTTAGAGTAGATCAGAGTGGTAGAGCTTCATAAGGATGCTTACTCTGTTTCTTAAAACAGAATAAAGTAATTGAGTTATTTCAGTAAAGTGCAGGATTTGCTTCCTGTGGATTTTCTCTGCTTCTGTAACAAGTGAACACCTGTAATGTTTGACTACAGGTCCTGAGACCTCAGACAGAAGCTTTGGAGCTTAAGTGATGTTTTAGTGTAGTCTTTCTTATTTTGATTTTTTTTTGTATGTACATATTTGTGTGTGTGTGCATGTGTTATTGTTTGTTTGCTTGTGTATGTATATGTGTATGTGTGTGCACACGTGGCGTGTGTGTGTGTGTGTGTGTGTGTGTGCTTGTCTAGAGGTCAGCCTCAAGTCTTATTCCTTAGGAAATGTCACTTTGTTTTTTGAGACAAAGTCTGTCAACTGAGACCTAACCTATGAGCTAGGCTGGCTGGACAGTGAACCTCTAATTCTGAGATTATAATCTTCCCACACCCAGAGTTTTACATGGGTTATGAAGATCAAACTAAGGTCATTAAGATTGCATAGCAAGCACTTAATTGACTCAACCGTTTCCTCAGTCTCATATATATTCATATATTCATATATATACATACAGTGTTAAGCAGTTCAGATGGGTAGTTAGAGAAATTTTCATTTTTGCTTTTACCTATGTTAGAATAGATATGTCAGAACATAAATGCAGTAGCTTTTAAAAATCTGAAGAATTGTAAGAAAAAATATGTAAGTTTGTTAAATATTCCAGGGATATTACGCAAGGAAGTGCAATAAAGGGCATCCTGACTGGGAAGGATGATGCAGAACTAGCTCTGCTCTCAGACGAAGTGATGTGTAGATTAGAGGATCCAGGTGATTCCACAGAAGAACTCCAAAACCCTAAACCACGTTATTAGCCAATAGTTTAGCTAATTTTCATGAAACAAGATCAGTACATGAAATTCAGTTCTCTATACGTTAGGACTGAATGAATAGTCAGAAATGAAAATCATAATAGCATAAAAATAGAATATGATGAAAATAAAGGAAAATTCAACTCATATACTAAAAATAAGACAGCACATTTATAGAGTATTAGATAATACTATTAATATGGTAATACTCTCCGAAGGTGATATTTTGAGGAATTAAACTCTTAAGAGTATGTGAATTATCTCTCAATAAAAAGAGACTGGAAATAAAACCAACAATATATGACATTGTTTTGCATACTCACTTAAATAGAAGCAAAGGTCAAGTGAAAAGATGAGAAATGTTCATGAGGTTTTATAATTTATCATTTGGAAAAATGCATTGAATCTGATGGGGAACATTTGTTCCACTTTTTAAAAATTAAGTATTTTAAAAAAAGATTTATGGATATGTATGTGTCCTGCCTGTCTGTGCAGCATGTGTGTGTGTACGCCAGAAGAGGGCTGTGGATCCCGTGGAACTAAAGTTAGGGGCAGTTGTGAGCTACTGTATGGGTGCTGGGAATTGAACCCAGGTCCTCTACAAGAGCTGCAAGTGCTGTTAGCCAGAGTTGCCTCTTCAGCCCCATATTTCACTTTCTTAGTGGCACAACAAATAGAATTTAAATAACAAATACACTGTAGTTTTAGTAAAAATACTTCAAATAGTAAATATGTGTTTTAGTAAAAATACATACATTTACATGAACTATTCTTTGTGTATGTGTTTAGTGATTGTGTATGTATGCATGAGGCACGTGTTTTTGTGCACATGCATGAACATTAGGTGTCTCCCACTACTCTCCACCGTACTGTGTTGACATAGGTCTCTCTGAACCAGAAGCTGGCAATTTTGTCTTAACTTAGTGGCTGCTGAGCTTTTGGGATCTACTTGTCTCTGGCCAGCAGTGCTGGAATTATTTATGCACAGTTGTGCCTGCCTTGTTTTCTTATCTGAGTGGTGGGCTTTGAACTTCTGTCTTCGTGCTTACAGTGCAAGTACTCTGACCACAGAGCCATTTCCTCAGCCTCAAATACATACTGTTTTAAAACAACAACAAACCAAAAGAAAACAAATTTCTAATTAGGATATAGTTTAGTGGTAAATTTTACTTTACCTTTTATAAAGATATTACAGAAGTTGAAGTAGAAGATATTTAGATAAATAATTTTATTCATCCAGCCAAAATTCACTTAGTACCACTAGATACAAATGTCTTTTTCTCAGAAAATTTGTAAGAAGATTATTTTTAGCTGAAGCTCTTTTGCTGAAAAAACATTCACCAGTTTTTTTTTCTAGAGCCATAAATGATACTATACAGGCTTTAATTGGAAATCAAGAATTGTCTCTCTTGTTCAAATATTGAATGTTTTTATTTTTTTCAGACTGTTGTTTTAATGTGTTTGGGTGGTGTTTTGCTTACATCTAAGTTTGTGTGCCAGATGTGTGCAGTGCTTGCAGAGGCCAGAAGAGGGCCTTGGATCTTACTAGCTAGTAGTAAACCACCATGTGGGTGCTGGGAATTGAGTTTTGGTCCTTCAGAAGAGCAACCAGTGTATTTTTAAGCACTGACTGTCTCTCCATCCCCACTGAACATTTTTAGATACTGAGTTTTAAGTCCTCAATGATAGAGAAAAGAGAACTGTAGAGAGTCCTGCCCTTGTATTAATGCCCCATTATTTCTTACTTTTGGGATTCCATTACATTAAGATCATCCTGATGTTTTATGGCATTCTAAAAGTGAGGAGACTAAGTTAGTGCCCTCTAGTGGCATTAAAAAATTCTGTACTTTTTTTTTAAGATTTATTTTAATTATATGTAGGTGTGTAGGTATGTGCATATGAGTTAAGGTGCCCATGGAGGACAGACGGCAGGATCCCAAGAGCTGGAGTTACAGGTGGTTGTGAGCCATGTAAAATGGGTGCTGGGAACTGACCTCAGGTTCTCTGCTGAGCAGTGCATGCTCTTAACTGCTGAGCAAACTCTTTGGCCCCTATATCTCATGTTTTTAATAGAATACATTGAGCATTATAGTCACAAGCAAGGCCATTCATGTTATAAAACCTACTTGGAGATACTAGAGATGCCTTAGAAAACCAAGTGCTGCGTTTACTTGATAACGGAACCATTTTGAAGCCAGGAGTTTACTTTTAATAATGGGAAAGTTTCTTTTATACACCACTCTGCCAGATCACTATGTTCAGTATTGGTGCAAATGTTAATTATCCATTTAGGCAAATACACATCTTTTAAAAATAAGGAATTCTAACATTGCAACCTTTAAATCTAATAGATTGATATGCTGCTTAAAGAGTATTTGCTCTCTGGAGATATATCTGAAGCTGAACACTGCCTTAAGGAACTGGAAGTACCTCATTTTCATCACGAGCTTGTATATGAGGTAAGGTTTACCTTCTCACACCAAAGAGGACTCTCAAGTGTTCCTTTTACAACACAGTAACCAATGTTTCCTTAATAATACAAAGTTTTTTTCTTAAAAATATTAAAGTAACTTATAAGTTTATATAATTGCTACATGTTAGCAGAGGGATTGGATACATTTTTAGGACCAGTTTCTCATAAGTTGATTATCAAAAATTCATTTACTCTTCTGTTCAAATTTTAGGCCATTGTAATGGTTTTAGAGTCAACCGGAGAAAGTGCATTCAAGATGATCTTAGATTTATTAAAATCCTTGTGGAAGTCTTCTACTATTACCATAGACCAAATGAAAAGAGTATGTATGACATTATTTTAAATAAGTTTTTAAAAGGTGTATGCCTCAACTATATGATTGAGTAAGAGTTATGACTTGTTAATGAAACTTTTCTTTTAGGGAATGTGTAATGTATAGTATTATGCCTACAGATTTTTTTATTTTAGTTCTATATTTTTGGAAGATAACAGAATTTTTTTTCTTTTACAGAATGATTGTTCAGCTTATGTGATGCAATTTTTTTTTTTATGTAGAGGAAACATTTAAATTGAATTTCTTTTTCTACTTAAAATTGTGGTTTTTGAAATGTTGGTGAAATTATCTTGTATTTTTATACAAGATGGTTAAGTGTAGATGGGGAAGTCAATAGTCAGGTAGTCTGACTTTTGTCTGGAGCTCTATTGAGAATTTTTAAAGAAAGCAAGTATAGGTTATTTTCAAGGTTCAGATATGACTTGTTTTGCCAGATTGCACTGTGTGACAGTTTATGGTATAGTGCTGGGTTGTTTCATGGCATACACTGTTATATAGGCTAACAATTGGATATGTAATTTTGTTCTAGGGTTATGAGAGAATTTATAATGAAATTCCAGATATTAATCTGGATGTGCCACACTCATACTCTGTGCTTGAGAGATTTGTGGAGGAATGTTTTCAGGCTGGAATCATTTCCAAACAACTCCGAGATCTTTGTCCGTCAAGGTACTTTATTTAAATACTACTTTCTCATTGAAAAATATTGAGGGAGATCCTTAGGGAGCTGTGATAGCCTTTTGTCATTCTGGCTCTCAGAAAAATAGTGTCTTTATTGATGTGACTGGAGATGAAGAACCATGTGCTTAGCGTTTATGGAGAAACAGGCGTGACTCTTGTCGCCTTGCAGCTGTGGACAGGACTGCCATTTGGAGGGAACCAAGTTCATGGTGTACATGTTGACTAGGATGGGCTAAATGTTACTTCAGAGTCGGTATGATCACCAGTAACAGAGAATAGTGGGGAGTTTGTAGTGAACCTTTAGGATCTCACAATTAGTATACTGTATAGGCAAAGTTTGAATTCATACTTTTTTAGACTTCAAGGTCTAAACTCTGCTGTACTTGGTAGTGGCTTCAAACTATAGGTAAGACTGGTTTTTTTTTTTTTCAGAGGGAATTCGATTTGTATTTCTAAGATGTAATGTAAGAGTTGATAAAGGCTTTCCCCCTTAAATAAGCTTGTAATGAAATAAGTTCAATATTTAGTTGGAGCCAAACTTATATTTTATATATATTTTTAAGTCTGAAATATGTAAGCTTTGAGTATTTTTGTTTTGCAAAGATTCTCAGAAAAACTATTTCTAGTTAGGCTTCCATTCTCTAAAATGTTTAGATGCTAAGAGAAGGTGGTGGAAAATATATAGAAATGTCTGGAATGGAGTAGTTGTCTGGCTGTTGTGTCAGCATCAGTGAAGCCTCCACCCCAGCAGGGTCTTTTGTTCTTCACTGCTTCAGCCTGCTCCTAATGTAGTCCCCAGCCTTTCTGTTCAAGAACACAGTAGGTTTCTCTCAGTACCTTGTGGTTGCTTTTTAAGATTTTTTTTTTTAAAGGTCATGTTTGAAAGTCTGTATCTTTATTGGGGCTTTATTCTGAATAATCATTTGAAGAGTTCTTACAGTTGTATACTACCAAAAACTTTGACTTTTAGCCTCTTACATTTTTGCTTTTCTGTGCTAAGTGTACAATTGTGAGTGATCTAGCATGCTTGTGCGTGTTGGTAAGGGGGGAGAGAACAACGATAATTCTGGAACAGGTCCCCTTGCCTACTGATGTAGGCTGCTGGACAATTGTAGAGAAAGGTTTCTTGAGTTTTCAAATGACAGTCAAGAATCCCCACCATGGGCGTATAGGCTAGAAGAAAGTAGATGCTTATTTGGTTGTCTACTCTCAAGATTTGGACTTTTCTAAGGCCAAGAAATTTTTATTAATTATGTATTCGGCCATATTATTTAACACTAATTTGTTATATGTGGATTTGTGTGCTTATGTCATGGTACATATGTGGAAGTCAGAGCACACCTTGTGAGAATTCATTCTCTACTTTGACCATGTCGGGCCCAGGACTGATTATCTGGCTTGCTGGCAAGAGCATTTGCCTGCTCTGAACCATCTTGCTGGCTAACCGTGGGTGTTTCAATAAGTTGTACAGTTCCATCTTTCCTAATTCTCATTGCTGTTTAGAGTGTTTGGCTCACTTGGTTTCAAAAAGAAGTAGAAATAAATGTTAAAGTCTAAGTAAAATGTCTTCATTTTCTATTTTAACTTTTATTAGTAACTCCAAGTAGATGAAGAAAATCCATTAGTAATTATGCATTTATCTAAGCTACTCATACATGCTTGTTATTTGATGTTTTTTTATAAAACATCTAATGTGTCTAGTATGTAAAAAAAAACATTTTCAAATAATTCAGACACACTGGTCTTAAACAGAAAAACCCTTTGAAAAGTCAAGGCTTTAGTGTTTTTCAGTGAGTGAGATTTTTAAGTGCTTTTGTTTTTGTTCTTTTCATTACAGGGGAAGAAAGCGTTTTGTAAGTGAAGGAGATGGAGGCCGACTTAAACCTGAGAGCTACTGAACACAGCAACTCTTACAGTCAGTCTTAGGTGTTACCAAGAACAGAGCTCAATTGTAAGAGTTGTCAGCACAGGTTTTCTTTCTTTCTTTCTTTCTTTCTTTCTTTCTTTCTTTCTTTCTTTCTTTCTTTCTTTCTTTCTTTCTT